AATTGAAATAAAACTGAAATAAAATATAAATATAAGATGAAAAACGAACTTTTTAATAACGTAAACATAACTTAATTACATTTTAATTAGTAAAATAAAATAAATAAATGTATTTAAATAAAATAAAACTATAAACCACTCAAATAACCGAAACAAAATTAAATATAAATATTACATACAAATTTAATGTAAAAAAAATTAACATTTAAAAAATTTTTGTTTTGGTAACTACCTGAGTTTTAGTTTGTAAATGTATCCACATGTGAAAATCTCAAAGATCTGCAGTAACCACAGATAAAAATCAAATGGTACTTTGACCTCCAGAGTGAAGTGTGATTTTTCATATTTAAATTCTGTGCATGTAAAAACATGTAAACGTTCGTTTAAGCGTGAATGTTTTGAATGCACATGTTGGTCTTTTGCAGGTCTGGACACCACGAAGGATCCGTGTCAGAAGGTGAAGTGCAGTCGTCATAAAGTGTGTGTGGCTCAGGGATATCAGAGAGCGATGTGTGTGAACCGCAAGAAACTCCAGCACAGGTCAGTCTCGCTCAGTTCAGCTCCAGCATAGCTTTCACGACCATTTACATATTTGCCATATTTTGCCATATGTTCACTGCTGTGCTTTTAAGCCTGACATATGAAATAATAGACAGAAAAAATCTATTTTTTTTAATGGAAAAGTTTATTGTACCATTAGACTTTAATTTATTTATTAATTAATTTACAATTAATTTATTGTACCATTTTAACAGATATTCACAACAGCTATTTTAAATTGTAATATTTCACAATATTACATTTTTTTCTGTATTTTTGATCAAATAAATGCAGCCTTGGTGAGAAGAAGAAAAACATTAAAAATCTTACTGATGCCAAACTTTTGAACAGCAGTGTGTATTTATAAGCAGTGTGTATGTATATATAAATTTAAAAAAGAAGTTTGCATTTATGATACATAATCATAAAAAATCAAATAAAATCAAACACTTCAATTAAAAATTAAAAAATTAGAATACTAATTGTAATATTCACTTATTGTGAAAAACAAATGTTTAAATAGTTGTTTAATATATATATTAAAAAAAAATCTTAAGTTCTCATGTTTACACATGAGAAGTATTAATGTTAAAGGTTTACCTTTTACCTGAATTTATTTATTTATTTATTGTAAGTGTGTGATATTTGAACTGTATTGAATCCAATTATGGTCAATTTGACCCGGAACATAATGATCGTAGCCAGAATACAAGAGCTATCAGTTAAATTGAGATTATAAGATGTTCCATGGAAGATTTAATGATCCAATCACATGTTGAAGCTTTATCGCTACAGATGTTATAATGATGTATTTTTGATAAAAAACAAAGAAAAGTCAAAAAAGTTAACAAAATATATAAAATCTATGCACTACACAAATTTAAAAAAAGTAAATCTATAATAAATAACTAACTAAATAAATGTATTTTATTTTAGCTAAACATAATATAAAATGTATGTACAACATATAAATTTAAAATAAAGTTATGCTGTAAGAAAATTATATTTTATTTTAATAAAAAACAAAGATTTTATTTATTTTATATGTATTTTTTTTAAATAAAATTATTTATTTTATTTTATATTATTTATTATTTTATTTTATATTATTTATTTATTTTATATAAAAGTTCAATAAAATATTAAATGTATGTGAAACAAATTTAAAATAAAGTAAATCTATAATAATAGCTAAATAAATCAATTTGTTTTATTTTAGATAAACAAAAATATAAAATGTATGTACAACACATACATTTTACGTTGTAAGAAAATGCTATTTTAATTTAATTTAAAAAACAAAGAAAAGTCCAAATAAAAGTTTAAAGGTATATAAAAATGTACGTTCAACACAAATGTATAAATGTAAATCAATAATAAATAACTAAATTAATTATTTTTTATTTTAGTTAAATAAAATATGTGCATATAAAATATGTACAGCACAAATTTAATAAAGTTAAAATAAAATGTAATAAAGTTATGTTGTGAAAAAGGATATTTTGTTTTAATTTAATAAAACAAAGAAAAGTCCAAATAAAAGTGAGGAAAAAAAATTATGTAAAATACTATGTTTAACAGAACAGTCTTGTTATTGATTATTAAGTTTACGGCCAGCATTTTAAAGCAGAAACTGGTGGATTGGTTTGGTTTTGTTGTGTTTGCTGTAGAATCAGAGAGTCTGGACTGAAGCCTCATGCTATCAGCTGTAAACTCTGTTCAGAGATGCCCTCGACGCCTGTGTGTGGATCAGACGGACACAACTACGCCTCACAGGTACACACACACACACACACTCACACACGCACACACACACACACACACGCACGCACACACACACACACACACACAAACACACAGACATACACACACAGACACACACACGCACTCACACACGCAATTAAAATTATTAAAATTTATTTTTAAAATATTTTTTCAAAGTGTTTTAATTTTTATTTATTTTAATTTTTTTCAGTTTATTTTTAAATATTTTTGTAATTTATTAAAAAAAATTTTTTTTCAATATATTTTACTTTTTTATTCATTTGTAAATATTAATTTACGTTTATTTATAAATATTTATTAATATTTATTTAAAAATATTATTTTTTTTATATTTCTTTCAATTTAGTTTTATTGTTTTCAATTATTTTTAAGTATCTATTTAAAATGTATTTTTGAATATTTATTTTTAAATATTTATTTCTGATTAATTTTAAATATTTATTTTTAAATATTCATTTTCAGCTTCAATTTTTAAATATATATTTTTCATTATTTAAAATAAATTATTTACTAGTGAAAGAGGAACATCTGTGATACAAATGTGATGTTTTTAGGTAAAAGGTTTTGTTTGTAATTCAAATGTACGTACATTTAAATATTTTTACTGTTATTTTTTTTTACTATTTATTTTTTTACAATACATTTTTGTCTTTTAAGAAGTAGGTCTTATCCTCAGGTTTTTATCACCTTGATAAACATTAAACGTTTGACTAGCGGCTCTTTCCACATCCTCAAAGCATCTTTCACATCCAACAAACACTCGTTCTCAATTCTGATTAGTGAACAACCATCTTCAGCCGCTCGTATCTGCTGAATTATGTATGTGAGTGTTGCTTTGAGACATGAACACACTGCAGTTCTTTAAAATGAAGCTCTCTCTCTCTCCTGTGTGTGTGTGTGTGTGTGTGTGTGTGTGAGAGTGTGTGTGTGTGT